AAATAAATTCATACATTTTAATATATATTAGCTTGACCCATCCCGCTTTTTGGGGTGTGTGGTATTATATATTATAGAAAGTGTAATTTATATGATTTTATGCCACACACTTTAAGATTTAAAATTTTTATTCTAAATCATATTTTTTTTTTGTATAAAATAATTTATATGATATATTTAAATAGTAAACTAATTTTAATAAGTTTATATGGTATACCTTGTTAAATTTAACTAACCTATAAATTTAGCACCTTATTTGCGATTTTTCATAGATTTTATATAATTTTCATCATATGTTAAAGATAACTTGAATGTCAAAAAAAAAAATTGCAATTAAGTGAAAATTTTTTAAAAATTAAGGGACCATATGGCAAGAAGAAAGGTTGTAATCATAGACTTAAATGAATGAATTTGAAGTTTAAGCACTAAAGTGTTTATAAGGTAGAAAAAGAAGAAGACAGATGTGACATTTTACCTTTCAAAAAATTGCGAAAAGGTCCATAAACCCCCCCCCCCCCCCGACAGCAGCCGACACGGGCTGGGCGCCGCACCATCTTTGTAGGTGTCGACACGATGTGTTAAGAATATGAATACTCCATGAAATTTGCTATGGAAGTGTCGATACCTATATTATGTTATCGACACTTCTGCCACATTGTCCATCTACACATCAATAATTCAGGAGGGCTCACGTATGGAATTCAATTCATCTATCAACTGGACACCAACATCTAATTAATTTTTAAATAATAAAATTAAGAAGATAATATATTTGATTAAAAATGTCTCAAAAGATGATAATTGATTAATAAAAAAATAATATCCTTTATTAGAATAAATGAGTAATGAGCAAAATCTCCATTATTACCCTAAAAAATTAAAAAAAATCTCTTCCCATTTGGAGTTGGAATTTATAATTTAAGTTTAGTTTAAACTCTTGAATTTATGAGTTAAGTTATTGTATTCAGTCAAATTCTAAATGTCCAAAATAATGATTAAATTAAAAAAAATCAAATCTTACTTTTTAATTTTTTTTTCTTTTATTACTGATATAGGTTGTTAGGGTCTACAAAGGTATGTTAATGGATTAAAATTTTTACTTTTTATTTATAAATTACAGGTTATTTTATAGGAGAAGTATAATATGTTATAAAATCAATTTTTTTCACGAAAGTGAAAATTTTATCTTCTTGCAGTGAATTTAAACCTTTGTGAGAGTCGGACAAAAGTATATTATTTTTTAATTTATATATTATCATTTGAATTTTCCTTTTGATGAACTTACTTTTAGTTTTGTTATCTATTTAAGAGGTAGATATTTGGTTGGCTTTTTCTGGTAGCGATAACTTTTTGAGTCTTTTTTTTTCTCTTAATTAGTATGTTGAACAATATTTAAAAGGAGCAATTGTTGATGTGAATTCTCATTGATGATGTCTTTTTAAAGTTTTTATAATTTTTTCTCCTCAATTTCCTTCTTCTAGACACTACATGCATTGAATCAATTTCTCAGTGCATTTTATATTGCTGAATATTCCTCTTCCACCTTTGTAGTTGTTGAGAATCTTTTATCAATTGAAATTACTTAGTAATTATTTTTTATCAATATAACCAACAGATAATCTAAGTGTAAAGGATAATAAAAGTCAGGAGAAACTCGAATCATACAAAATCATTTAGACAACACCGTAATAATAATAGTAAAACAAAGAGAGTAGAAAAAACTTTTCAATGCAACAAAAGATAATAGTAAAACATAACTGTAAAACAAAAGGCAACAACAAATAAATAATATAACAATTTCATTTTCTCATTTTGTTTGCTTGTTAAATTATTCAAAAATAAAATATATCTTATAGCGGCAAAAACTTACTTTTAACCTCTTACTTGTTAAATTTAAAGGTTTTAACCCTAAATTTAAAGGTTTTAACCCCTCACCTTATATTATGACATTTTTAACCACTCATTTTACTAGATTTATAAGTTTTAACCCTTCATATTATACTATGACATTTTTAGTCCCTCACCTATTAAAATTGAAGAAAATAACCCTCATTTTATAATATTTTATTAGTTTTGTTAGTTGACTGTTAACTCTATTAGTTGATTGTTAGTTAATTGTTAACTGTCAAAAACCTTCTTTTAGCTAACAGAATTAACAGAACTAATTTTATAATATTTTGTTAATTCTGTTAATTGGTTATTAGTTGACTGTTAAATGATAAAAATCTACTTTCAATTAACAAAGTTAACAGTCAATATAAAATGAGAGTTATTTTCTTGGATTTTAATAGGTGAAAGATTAAAACCTACAAAGCTAATAAGGTTAAAAGTTAAAGGTTAAAAATGTGATATTATAAGGTAAGGGTTAAAACCTTCAAACTTGATAAGGTGAGGGGCTAAACTAAGTTTTTGCCTGTTATAGCAACAGTCATTTGATCATAAATTCAAGATCAAAATTTAGAACTCACTCACACAAGCAATCGTATTCTAAAAAATTTATTTAAAAATAAAAAAATTCAATTAAGTTTCCAATATAATGTCCAACATAATAAAATTCTTTTATAAAATTCCCATGCCTTTAATCAATACTTTCCAAAACACAGTTAAGTTCAACACATTTTCACATTGCATACAACATATAAACAAGAACAGTGATTGATATACCTTCCGGTTCAACACTTGATTTAATATCTTTCACTTTAGTCATTAAAAAATTATTATTTTTTAATTTAAAATTAAAAACAGATAATTATAATAATACAATTATGTACATATGATACAAAAATCGACTGAATTGATTGTATTTATATTATATTTTTAATGATTAAACCAAAGAGTGTTGAACCGGAGAATGTACCAATAATTTTCCTATAAACAACAATCTCGTAAAATAGAATCATAACTAAGCACTAAGCTTTTGATTGATAACTAAAACTATTTATTTTAATATCTCAAGGAGAAGAGAAGTCACATATTAGGACCCTACAAAACAGGCCTTTTCCCAACCCTCTTGATCTCCCATCCATTTCCCAGTAAGCATTAATCCAAACATCTTGAAATCTGATAAACAAGACTTGATTAATTGATGCCCCTACGTCACTGAAATATTCCCCTCAATAAAGAAATGGTTGTACCATGCAAGTATGTAGTGAACTTTGTAAGTAAGATAATATTGCAACAATAGAAATTAACTAAGATAACTATACCGTAAAGATATCCACGTAAAAACACACATAAAACTAAAAAGTTAGAGAAAGATCATAGAAAAAGTCATACTTCTCTGTCTTGAATTTATAAGCAAATTATCCACGATATGTCCAATTAACAGCAACAAAAATATACTGAGAAAAAGGAGGAGCCCAGAGCGAGCCATATTCACTACACCTAAAGGGAAACCATAACCAGTAAGAAAGAGCATAAGGGGGGAAAAAGAGATAATGAAAAATGCCAAGTCAAAAGGAAGAATAATAGTAAAATGAAAAAAAAAAAAAAAAATTCCCATCCATCATCAAATATGAATTTACCCAAATATAAATACTTGCAAGCACAATCATATATCATCAACAATAGCCACAAAATGCAAATTTCACAATTACTTGAAGCAACAACAATAAAAACCTACAATGAACAAATTTGCATATAACAAAAGTGATTTTCTATCAAAATGCAATGCTTAGCCAGGTAAGAAGAATTTTGTCATTAAAGCAATGCAAAGAAAAAATCAGTTGCCACAAAAATAAACGAAATATAAAATTATAGTTTTTACCTGGTTAGATGGCAGCTCAGGTTTTCTGGCCATCTCACTGGAATTTTGCCAGATTTTGCATTCTCTTGACCTTCTCTCTCTTACCTCCTTCTCTATCTCTTCTCCAGCCCTTTGGATGACTTTGTGTGGTGTGGTAATTTTCCAGCTATAAAAATCATTCAGCAATATAAGGAGTGTAAAAAAAAAAACAAAAACAAAAATGGAGAAGAGGAGTGCGGTTTTAGCGAGAAAAATGTGCCGGGAAACTCGTCTCTTCCGCCTTTCTGAATTTTCAAGAC